AGAAAGGGGCTTTGACAGAGAGGGGATGGGAGGGAATGTGGGTGGAGAGGGAATGGAGGGGGAATGGGGGATGTGAGGGTGGAAGAGATGATGGGGGACCGGGATGGGGCACTGGGGGGCTGAGATGGGGCATGGATGGGACAACAGGAGGCACAGAGAGGGAATTCAGGGGACTTAGATGGCACAACGGGGGATCTAGATGGGACCTTTGTCCCATTGAGAGGAGCCAGAGAGGACATTTGGAAGACCCCAATGGAACAATAGACATTGGGAGGACCTAAATGGGACAACAGTGGACGTATGGAGGGAGTTTGGGGGACTCTGCTGCACAAAAGGGAGAAGGGACACTGGGGGGACCCAGAAGGGCCACGGAGGACCATCCCAGGCGGGATGGCATGGGAGCAAACTGAAGGCACAGGGTGAGAGGAGGGATGGATGGCGGTGCCCCAGCGGCTCCATGCACCCGGTGCCGTGCTTGGTGCCATGCCTGGTGATGCTGACACGTGTGGGGCACAGTGATCATGTCAGAGGAGGCCGTGGGCCGCCGCCGGGCACTGAGGCTGCAGCGGAGGTTGGCAAAGGCACAGCCTGGGGGGCTGACGGAGGAGCAGCAGGAGCTCATCAGCATCCTCATCGCCGCTCACAAACGCACCTTCGACTCCAGCTTCTCCCAGTTCCAGCACTACCAGGTGAGCTGGGAACCACGGCGGTGTTGGCGTTGGGTTCCAGCCTGGTGCTGATGCCTCATCTCTGCCCCCAGCCCGCTGTGCGTCTCTGCATCCCCGACCTGTGCTCCCAGAGCCCACCGAGACCGGGCGTCCCTTCAGCCCCACAGTTGGATGAGGACGTGCTGCCTGACGTCTTCTCCATGCTGCCCCACTTCGCTGACCTCAGCACCTTCATGATCCAGCAGGTCATCAAATTTGCCAAGGAGATCCCAGCGTTCAGGTGAGTACGGTGCCGGGGCCGCCATCCCCAAACCCTATGCCATCCTTCAACTCAATCCAATAACTCAACCCAATGCTATTCCCCAACCCAACGCCATCCCCCAACCCAACGCCATCCCTCAACTCAATCCAATAACTCAACCCAATGCCATCCCCAAACCCAACGCCATCCCTCAACTCAATCCAATAACTCAACCCAATGCCATCCCCCAACCCAACGCCATCCCCCAACCCAACGCCATCCTTCAACTCAATCCAATAACTCAACCCAACGCCATCCCCCAACCCAACACCATAACCCAACCCAATGCCATCCCCCAACCCAACGCCATCCCAGTCCTGACATCTTGTCCCACTGCAGGGGGCTGCCCATCGATGACCAGATCTCACTGCTCAAGGGAGCCACGCTGGGAATTTGCCAGATCCAGTTCAACACGGTGTTCAATGAGGAGACCAATGCCTGGGAGTGCGGGCAGCACTGCTTCACCATTGAGGATGGAGCTCTGGGTGAGCATTGAGGTGGGGCAGAGGGGATGGCTGTGTCCCCATCCCAGCTCATCAGTCCTCCCACTCTCCACAGCTGGCTTCCAGCAGATCTACCTGGAACCACTGCTTAAATTCCACATCAGCCTGAAAAAGCTGCGGCTGCACGAGGCTGAGTACGTCCTGCTGCTGGCCATGCTGCTCTTCTCACCAGGTAGGGGACGTGGTGGCCATGGTGGGCTGTCCCTTTGGCCACCAGCTGATGGCCACCCGTTGTTCCACCAGACCACGCCAGCGTCACCCAGCGAGATTTCATTGACCAGCTGCAGGAGAAGGTGGCTCTCACGCTCAAGAGCTACATCGACCACCAGCACCCCATGCCAGAGGGCAGGTAGCCACCATGGCCACCACGGCCACCATGTGGTCCCCAGCTCTACGTGTGGTCCCCAACTTCCATGGGCTATCCTCAACGCTGCACATGCTCCCCAATGCCACACGTGGTCCCCAACTCCATGGCTCATCCCCAACTCTACGTGGTCATCCCCAGTGCCACAGGTCATCCCCAACACGAGACGTGGTCCCCAATGCCACGTGGTCATCCTCAATGCCACGCATGGTCCTCAACTCCACGCTGTCATCCCCAACATCACACATGGTCCCCAATGCCACACACCATCCCCAACTCCACGCAGTAATCCCCAATGCCACACATGGTCCTCAAAGCCACGCGTGGCTCCCAACTCCATGGGTCACCCCCAACTCCATGGGTCATCCCCAACACCAGATGTGATCCCCAATGCCACGCATCATCCCCAATGCAGTGTGGTCATTCTCAATGCTACACGTGGTCTCCAACTCCATGTGGTCATCCCCAACGCCACTCAAGGTCCCCAATGCCATACATCATCCCCAACACCACAAGCAGTCCCCAAAGTGTCCCCCAACACCACGGCGACACCCAGCAGGTGCTCCCCGGCCCAGGTTCCTCTATGCCAAACTCCTGCTGCTGCTGACGGAGCTGCAGACCCTGAAGATGGAGAACACACGGCAGATCCTCCACATCCAGGACCTCTCCAGCATGACGCCGCTGCTCTCCGAAATCATCAGCTGAAGGACAGCGAGGCGCTGAGCCCCCATCCCCGCGCACACGCAGGGCTCCATCGCACTTTACAGGGCAGAGTAAAGCTCTTTTATTTTTCCTGGCTCTGTGGGTGCACTCTGTAGGGCGCTTCCAGCCCCTTCACTGCGTGGCCAAAGGGGGGGAAACTGAAGCAGAGCAGCTCCAGGGTGGGTGGGATGGAAGCTCCATCCGCGGCCACGTCAACCCAAAGATCCTCCTGGTGCTGACACAGCGTCCCACGGTGCTGGCAGACCCCGGCCCCAGCTCGGCTGTGGGGCAGGTGACAGGTGGCCCTAGGGCAGGTGACAGGTTCCCCTGTGGCACGGTGGCTCCCTGAGCAGGATGGTGGCAGGTGCCGGCCCTCAGCCCACGATGACGCTGAAGCCGCAGTGGAAACGGTTCTTCCAATGGTTGAGGAAAGCACCCAGAGCCAACGTGACGGGCAGGGGGGGCAGCTTCTTCTCCAGCACCGCCCCAACGCTCCAGTTACTGTCCAGAAGCCCTGGGGGGGCACGTGGGGGGGGCAGGTGTGAGCAGTTGGGGTCACGTAGGGGGTTGGGTGCAGCCCCTCACTCACCTCTGAAGACAACGTTGGCCTGTGGCAGGTTGAGCTGGTAGCCAAAAGCAAAGGTGGTGTCCTGCAGCCGTGTGTTGGCCTCCAGCTCCACCCCAACCTGCACCTGGGGGGCACGAGCGTGAGGTTGGGGTTGAGATCCCCTCCAACTCAACCACGCTGTGACCCCACAGTTCTATGGTCTTTGGGATCCCCTCCAACTCAACCACGCTGTGACACCACAGTTCTATGGTCTTTGGGATCTCCTCCAACTTAACCACGCTGTGACCCTACAGTTCTATGGTCTTTGGGATCCCCTCCAACTCAACCACGCTGTGACCCCACAGTTCTATGGCCTTTGGGATCCCTTCCAACCCAACCACGCTGTGACCCCACAGTTCTACGGTCTTTGGGATCCCCTCCAACTCAACCACGCTGTGACCCCACAGTTCTACGGTCTTTGGGATCCCCTCCAACTCAACCACGCTGTGACACCACAGTTCTATGGTCTTTGGGATCCCCTCCAACTCAACCACGCTGTGACCCCACAGTTCTATGGTCTTTGGGATCCCTTCCAACTCAACCACGCTGTGACCCCAAAGTTCTATGGTCTTTGAGATCCCCTCCAACTCAACCACGCTGTGACCCCACAGTTCTATGGTCTTTGGGATCCCTTCCAACCCAACCACGCCGTGACCCCACAATCCTATGGTCTTCAAGAGCTCCTCCAACCCAACCATTTCAGGACACCACGGTTCTACAGCACACAAAGTGCCAGGATGCCCACCTGCTCGTTAGCTTTGTGGTAGTAACTCGCATGGGCACCACCATAGCCTACATTGAGCGTCGCCACCCACTTGGAAGCTGGAAGAAAGAAGCAAAAGGACAGGCAAGGGGACATCCTTGGGGACAACGTGGTGTCACCGTGCCCAGCTGCCAGGTGCCCTCATACCCGTGTATTTGCCTGCCAGTGTCAGGATGGCTCCTTCCTCCCCCGGCCGCCGGTGGTAAACCATCTCCCCACCCAACACCAGGCGGGAGGTGATGCTCTGAAGGAAATGTGCCACCAGGATCACTGTGGGGACAGCGGGACCTCAGCACCTGGTGGCTCGATGGCCCCACACGGGGATGGGGAGGGGGGACACCCCATTTACCAGACCCGCCGAGGAGGTCAGGGTTGCCCAACGTCAGGGTGGCTGTGCAGTCGTCCCCACGGTACTCGCCGTCGAATTGCCAGGTGACAAATTTTGCCTGGTGGGTCTGAAAGGGGTGATAGGATCCAATGGGTGCCGGTGACACCCCTGCCCCATTGTCACCCCCAAAAAAAACAGCCCCAGCCCCACCTGGAATACAGCTTTGGTGCGGATGCGCTCGGCCAGGAGATGCAGGATCTGTGCGTTGAGGCTGCCACTGTTGTCCATGTCCCCCACCAGAGTGGGGAATGCCTTGGGGACGATAGGTGATGGGCTCAGGGGGGTGACAAGGACACCGTGCCACCTCTCCCTGCACCAACTGTGCCCTTATTACCCCACACCACCCCACTGCCCTCCCTCGGACACCCGGTTCGCTCATTTCCAAGCCCTGCAGCCACCCCAGGGTCACCCCAAAACCACCCCAGGGTCACCCAAAAACCACCCCAGGGTCACCCCAAAACCACCCCAGGACCACTCACCCCACAGACCCCCCACTCAAAGCCCCCCACCAAGGCAGACCTCAGGGCCCCCTCACCTCAGTGGGCCCCAGCTGTCGGTCCCCAACGAAGGTGGCATTGAAGTGGTAATTAGAAGGGCCCAGAGTGCTCATGTGCACAGTGTGTGTCACCTGTGGGGGGACAGCATCAGTGTGGGGGGGGAGGAGGGGAGCAGACAGGGACGTGGTGGCACTTTGTGTCCCCCTCCCATCATTGTGTGCCCCCCTCCCCCAGACCTGGAAGTGGCTGCTGAGGGCTTTGTTGACGATCAGCTTCACACCCTCCATCTGCTGCGGGAAAACCTCTGCAGGGGGAGAAGGAAAACAGCGTGGGGACATCGAGGGGAGACCCCCAACCCCCCCCCAAAACCCCACCACAAACTGCCCTCCAACTGCACCCCCATTCTGTTCCCTCAATGCCCCCCCAGGTCCCTCCCGCCCCCC